AAAGGAAGGAAGGAGAAAAGGTGGGGAAGGAAGAGGGGTGGGGAGTAAGGCAGGGGAGAGGGAGGGAAGGAAAAAAGTGGGAAAGGAATAGGGGTAGGGAGGAAGGAGGGATGAAGGCAGGGTGGGGGAAGGATGGGGAAGGAGGGTAGGCAGGGGAGAGGGAGGAAAGGAAAAAAATGGGAAAGGAAGAAGGGTAAGGAGGAAGGCGGGATGGGGAAAGGTTGTGGAGGAAGGATAGGCAGGGGCAAAGGAAGGAAGGAAGAGGGGTGGGGAGGAAGGCAGGAGGAGGAAAGGATGGGGAGGAAGGATAGGCAGGGGAGAGGGAGGAAAGGAAAAAAAATGGGAAAGGAAGAAGGGTAGGGAGGAAGGAGAGATGGAGAGGAAGGCAGGATGGGGGAAGGATGTGGAGGAAGGATAGGCAGGGGCAAAGGAAGGAAGGAAGAGGGGTGGGGAGGAAGGAGGGATGGGGGAAGGATGGGAAAGAAGGACAGCCAGGAGTGAGGGAGGGAGGGAAGGAGAAAAGGTGGGGAAGGTAGAAGGGTGGGGAGTAAAGCAGGGTGGGGAGAGGATGGGGAAGAAGGATAGGCAGGGGAGAGGGAGGGAAGGAAAATAATGGGAAAGGAAGAAGGATAGGGAGGAAGGAGGGATGGAGAGGAAGGCAGGATGGGGGAAGAAGGATAGGCAGGGGAGAGGGAGGAAAGGAAAAAACTGGGAAAGGAAGAAGGATAGGGAGGAAGGAGGGATGGAGAGGAAGGCAGGATGGGGGAAGAAGGATAGAAAGCGGTGAGGGGTGGGAAAGGAAGAGGAGTGGGAAGGAAGGAAGGATGTAGAGGGCTGGGAAGAAGGGATACGTAAGGGAAAGGATGGAAAAGAAGGAAGGATAGAAGAGGTGTCAGGAGAGGAGATGAGGGAGGGTTAGGGAGCAACCTGGGATAAAGAAGACTGGGGAGAAAGGTGGGAGGAGGAAGAGTTGGGGATGGAGCTGCAGTGGAAGTTGGGGGTTGCCATGAGGGGCTTCAAAAGGGCGTTTGACCAGGGGCAAGGGGGCGCATAGGAGAGGCACTGGGGAGTGGGGCACAACAGGGGGTCCCCAGCATGCAGGGGAAGGGGGCAGGCATGAACAGTGCTAAAACTGGACCCCTCTGTTCACCCCACAGACAATCAAATTCAACAACCATGCTCGCAGGGCAACAACCCCCCCAGAGAGCAAGAACAGTGGCTTTTACCAAAAACAAGCTGCCCAACAAGACTAGGAAGGTCACAGATGGATACTCATAGGTGGAGAGAGAGGTGGCAAGAGTTTGCTGTCAATACGGAAGCATTCAAGGTGCTAAAATTGGAAGAAACTTCTGAAGAGCTGCAAAAAGACCTCAAAATACTGAGCAAGGTAAAGCAGGGTGTACAGGGGGGATGGGCATCGCTTCTTGGCTCAGTGGTGGGCTGTGAAGTGGCTGCTACCACTCCAGAAATGGAGTCTGGAGCTTTAATGAACACTCCTGTGAAAGCAGCTCAGGGCTTGGTAGCAACCAAAGAAAGCACTGAGAAAAGAGCAGATCATGTAGGAAAAAACTAAGGAGGCTACAAAACAGTCCAAAAAGGTAGCGGTGACCCCAGAAGGGCAGATGGAGAGCAGGTCTCCATTCAAGAACAACCTCATGCTCAAAGAAATTATCAAGTGAGAGTCAAAGCAAAGACTCATAACTGGAAAAACAGCAGATGAAGGAGAAGTGTATCCTGGGGAAGAGCAGTGTGAGGAAGAGGAGGAGACAGGGGGCTGAGAAGAGGGGACAGAAGTCAGAGACTGGAAAACAAAGACTACAAATGAAGGGAGATGGAAGAGAATGAAGACCAGGAAAGGCAGAGGAGGATGGACGTGAGCTCCCAGGTGGGAAAACAGCCTCTGAAAGCCTAGAGCAGTGCAGAGGCGCAGAACAATATGCGAGGCAGGAGATAAAGGAAGACAAATCCTCAGGGATTTAATCACTCAACATGAAGCTGAATGGTGACTGTGCAAAGGGAGGGATGTTCTCAGGAGGACTCAAAGTGGGCAGAAGACAGGCACGTCTTCAACACCAGATAAGCAAACTGAGTCCTTGGCAGCTCAGCCCCTGCTGTTGAGCCCCTACTGCTCTGCCAGCACATCTCTGCAGGACATCCCTACTTTACAAGAGGAACAGCCTTTTTTTTTTTTCCTTTTTTAAGCAGAGTTTAATGGATTTCCAACACTATTTTAAGTTCAAGTTCAACAAGCAAAAGGAAGTCACACCAAAGCAAAAAGTGTGCGTAGGCTGAGCCCAGTGGGCTGCAATCATTGCAGCAACACAGTGCCAGTGGAAACCTTCTACTCTGGGATGGCCATGGTATGATCCCACCATACAGATGCTCTCAGCACCCAGAAACACCCCTTGCTCTGGGGCAGGAGGTCCAGCATCATCACAAGGGGCTCAAATCACTTCTGAAAATGGTGCTTCTTCCCCCAAACCACCCAAAAAGCTCAAAAATATTATCATGAGGGAGCCAGGCTTGTGCAAAGAGAGGACAGGTGAACCTATTGCTTCTTCCCATGGAGGAGGAGTTAATTAATAGGCTGCCTTGGCTGTGTCATAGTACTCTCTGTGCTGCTGACAAGTGAAGACGTATGTTTTGGGGCTGATTTAGATGTGTATGTATTTAAGGGAATTTGGGGGTTGGAATATCCTTGCCTGCGCTTTCACAGACCAAAGTTTGCCTCTGCAGGCTGATGTTACACAGACATTGCTGGAGCCTGAACTCAGATTCAGGAATTCCATGTGGAAGAGGCCTTGACAGCTGAAAGTAAATATTTTTGCCTCTTCCATCCTGTTCTTGCTCCACTCACAATCTATGAATGAAGATCCTCATCTCTGTCCTCCCTTAGTAATCTCAGCAGTGACTGCCTCAGGGCTGATCACAGAAATGAAGTGGGAGTGGACCAGAGGAGCCAGCAGGGTCTCAGTGGCACAGATTTAGTGTCAGAGCCAGGGAAAGGAGGGCAAAGCCCATGACCTTCCACTGTCCCATCTCTTGTCTCTCTTTTGCAGTCTGTAACACATAATGCTACTCTGAATTTTCAACTCTACTGCTTGTTTATGGAGGGAGGAAATACTGTTAGCCCTGATGAAGCAGGAGGAAGACTCGTCTCTGTTTCAACTGTCTTTAAATATTGAGAAATTAATCCTAATTCCAGCAAATCCTCACTCCTGTGATAATGAAATCAGTTCAGTTTGAACCCAGCTTATAGAAAACACAGAGCAATATCTATGAAGGAAACAAGCTGAATAAAAGGTAGGAAGAACAGGAAAGGAAAGATGTCTGATAAATTTATTCCATGCCAGGAGCAGGACTAAAAGGGTCCCCCCCATTTCCTATCCCCTAATTCAACTCACAGCTCAGAAAACCAACCCTTCCCCCAGTTTTCAGTTCATATATGTACACGTTATTTGGGTTCTTGTTTCTAAATTGCCTCCCTTTGAGCATCACTTCAGAAAATACAGAAATGTAACCAAGAGCACACACTGAAGGCAGCGCCTCAGGGGTGGGTTCCCGGGTCTGTGCAGCATCAAACTCAGGCGGCAAGTGAGGAGCATCCTTGGCACAGGAGCAACACGTAATGCAAACACTAATCAAAAAGCAACCAAGTTAATTGGAACTCTATAGTCAGACTGATCAGAGAGAGGAAAATTGATTAAACATGTGCTGCCTTGCCAAAAAAAATTTCCTTTCTGCAAGAAACATTCAGGTAATGCTGGCTTACCGAATGTCTGAAAAAGTTCAGGCGAGTCAGCTGAAACCCAATGAATGTGCGTGTCAGATGGAAGCCAGTACCAGCAGCAAAAATAAATACTATGCGGGAGACCAGTTGATGTCATCTTTCTATTCACTTCTCTCCAAAAACATACCTTTTTTCCCCCCACAAAGCAATCACTGCTTTCTTAAAGGGATTATAGGCAGCAGCGCTGGTTGCAAAGAGCCATTTATTCTCCCAAGATGTTTATAAAGGCTCTCTTTCATGCCATATCCTTACACATTTGTTGCAGTCTTTTTTAAGGAAACAAAGAAATTGAAAAATGTGCAGTTCTTGAAACTGCGAGAGTCTGGAGAACAGTTTTAGTTTAAAACACATTATTTCTTTGTTTTCCTTAAAAAAAAAAAAAAAACCAAACAAACAAAAAACCCAAGCTTCTTCAGAATTCCTTTTCTTGCAAAACTTCATTTGGTAAAAAGAAAAAAAAAAAAAAGTACTTTTCTTCACAATTTGAAAGGTTTTTCCCTGCCCTCCCACCCTGACGGCGCTCAGCAGAGTGCTTTTGATTTCCACAGACCCCGGTTTTCTGTAAAGCCTTTTACTATCCGGGATAAGTGCTGTGAGAAGCTCCTTCAGCACCAGGTGCCACGAGGTTGTCCCACGCAAAGCTCAGTTTAGCCAATACTTCCCTCTACCGGGAAAGAAAAATACTGCCATCTATTATAATTCCCTTTGAAATAAAGGGAGATAACAGGACAAAGGGTTTTCCTGTCTGAAGATGATGGGATATTCAGGGTGCCTGGGATGCAGAAAGGGTATCAGATTCAGCATATCAACACGTTGCTCATTTATTAACCCGGCAAAAGGGTTTTGGCCATCCTCTATTGACCCCCCCTTCAATGAGGTTCCCCCCCAAGCTCTCCTCCCCCCTGCCTTCCCAGCCCCAATGAGAGCTAACAGAGCAAATCTGCAGGGCTGGGGCCCCTCCACATCCCCACCTCTGGGCTATGGGACACATAAGATCAGGCCACTATTCACACCAGGACAGAACCCATCGTTGGGTCTCATCAGGGATGGTGCTAAAGCATCACTGTATAATGTCGGCTGAGATCTGGGCTTGTTCCTT